TCTCTCTCTCTCTCTCTCTCTCTCTCTCTCTCTCTCTCTCTCTCTCTCTCTCTCTCTCTCTCCCGTGTCTGTCGCCTCTCCCTTCCCGTGTTTCTCCGTGGATCCTCGTCGAACCCCTACTCCTTCACTACTCGATGTGGCCCCTGCGGATCTGGTGTGTCCCTTTCTCTCTTCCTCTGTCTCTCTCGCTTTCTCTCTTCATTGCTCTTCTCCACTACGTGCAGATTCACATTAACCCAACACCTCTGGTAATTCACGTCCTTCGTCATTATCCTACCCTCTCTCTTTTCCTTACAACCTATTCCCCTCCGTTCGCTATGAGCACCTCTTCCCCTGCCTTCCAATCTCTTCCTCCGCACGTTGTCGGGATCCCCATCCACGACCTACACTTCCTCCGCCCGTTGTCTGGATCCCCATCCACGACCTACACTTCCTCCGCACGTTGTCTGGATCCCCATCCACGACCTGCACTTCCTCCGCACGTTGTCTGGATCCCCATCCACGACCTACATTCCGACGTCCTCCTCCTCTCGATCCCACATACTGCCAGATCCGGCCAATTCCAATTGGTGCTATCTACTATCCATCCCCTTCTTCAGAGATTAGGTCCTCGACCTACCCCCTCCACCCACTACTTCCCCCTCCACAACCTCCTTCACGTCCACAACCTTACCTTGCATGTTTCATCCTATCCCGGCAACTCTCCGTCTACCTCCTCGGTCGTGGCATCCCCCATTCTGACGACCAGATCCCGACACCTCCCATCCTCCTGACGCCGCATCCTGACCCTCCCCTATCGTCCGTCTCCTGCTCTTCCGCTCCCTCAAGATTCCGATGACAACCTTCTCCTCTCACAGCTCCTCGATTTCTGGGCGCAGGCCTTTCACCTCCTCCTCCCCGCCTGACCAGGCACCTGACACCTCCCTGGTGTTCCTTCTCCCGCTGCCACTCCTGATTAACGGCATGATCTCTACCAAGTCCTTCCGATTGGCAGCCGTGCAGAAATCATGCACCCCCCCTTGCAACATAGCACCCTCATAGACAACGGAGTTGCCGCCCTAAACGTATGGAGGGAGGGGCGGAGAGAGAGAGAGAGAGAGAGAGAGAGAGAGAGNGGAGAGAGAGAGAGAGAGAGAGAGAGAGAGAGAGAGAGAGAGAGAGAGAGAGAGAGAGAGAGAGAGAGAGAGAGAGAGAGAGAGGGTGCGCTTCGCCACGAGCGACCCCACCTATTTTGCTCTTTGGCCCGACTGTGAACGGAACTCCCCACCAGAGAGAGAGAGAGAGAGAGAGAGAGAGAGTGCACCTTGCCACGGCCTACCAACTTACCTGTTTCGGTTTTGGGCAGAGTGTGAACGAGAACTTTCCACCCGTTCACGCACAAACCCCACAGAGACAGAGAGAGAGTAAGAGGAGAGAGAGAGCGTGAGAGAGAGGAGGAGGGATGACGAGAGAGAAAGAGAGAGAGAGAGGGTGAGAGAGGAGGGATGAAAAGAGAGAGAGAAAGGGAGGTGAGAGAGGAAGAGGGATGACGAGAACGAACGAGAGAGAGAGCGGGTGAGAGAGTGGAGGAGGTATGAAGAGAGCGAGCGAGCGAGCGAGCGAGCGAGAGAGAGAGAGAGAGAGAGAGAGAGAGAGAGAGAGAGAGAGAGAGAGAGAGAGATGCACTTCACAACCGCGCACCAACCTACCTATTCCGTTTTCGGGCCGAGTGTGGAGGAACTCTCCACCCCTTCACGCACAACACCGCACAGAGAGGAGGGGGAGAGAGAGGGTGAGAGAGAGAGAGAGAGAGAGAGAGAGAGAAAGATTACCGCGGTAGGCTGCCAAGCTCGCTTATTTCCTTGCGCGCGTGGAGAGAGAGTGCTGAAGACGAAGGAAAATTGCATGCGGCATTTTCGCGCGTCGTCCCAAGCGCCTTTGGGCTGCGGTTCGAATTTGGCCGCCCCTTACCAACGGGCCTAGCTCAGTTGGGACACTGATGAACTGTCGAAATCTAGACCGAAGCTCGAATCCAGATGCAATGAGACGAACGGAGTCAAATAATTCCTACCTAGTTACCTTGGGCCAGTCAGCTCACTGACGATGTCTCGGGTCCTACCGCCGGCGCTATGGTGCGAGTGCACGAAGCCTTAGCCGGCAGCAACTGCCGGGCTGTCTGGCCACAGCAGCTACCATGGGCGATAGTGCTTCGGCAGGTGTGACCGCGATCACCATCATCTTTTCTTTTCTTTTCTTTTTGTATAGGTTGGATTTCTACAGATGTGAGATTGGAGTTCTATCCAGCGGCCTAGCTCAG